AGAGAAAGAACACTCTAATAAGAGTATAGGAAGGAACTGGAGTCCCCAGTGGCACAATGGACCCTTTGTGCCCGCACTGGACTACTGACCTCTGAACCTCATGTTGCATGAGGAATATAAAGCCTTGTTCAGCTAAGTCATTGAACGTGGACCTCTGTTCATACAGCTGAATATGATTTCTAACATAAGTGATTTGTGTATTGCCTTACAGATGTTCAGGGCTTAGAAAATCAAAATTTATGAATGCAATACAAGCATGAAAGTCCTGACTCCTAAAAAAATGTAAATTCTTCAGATGATAGGTGGCCAAATAATTCAAAGAATTCAAGTCCAGAAGAATGTCCGTATATAGCCTCAAAGGACACACACCAAGCTCTCTCAGGTGAAGATTGAAACTGTTTTGTTTTGGGTTTGTTTTTTAGAGGAAGGAAAGAATTTATCCCATTCTCAGAAGAATCAGACTGAAAAAAGGCAGAGAGGAAGCTGATGAGCCACTGTTGGCAAAGCAAACTCACCCTTCTGGGTGCTGCAGGACTGAAACCATCAGCTCCACTGCCAGGGCTCCTGCGATCATGGCCAGGCCTGGACGGCTCACGGTGCACTGCTGGTCCAAGGTCCGGTCCCGGGTTGACTGCAGAGGAACAAGTGTGGATGCTTGTGCTCAGTGATGCTGTCCTCTCAGCTCAAGCTATCACTACAACCAGACCCAGCCTGGTTGCTGTGAATGTCCAGCTTCAAACAGCATCACTTCTCAGGAGGATGAAGATAAACACAATATTCAATGAAGTAATATGCTGATGAGGATAATCAATTTCAACCTTCAGAGCATGGAGTTTTTCAGCCAACCAGGACAATCCTGCCTCACAGACTGACCCTGCGGCATGTGCCCCATAATTGACTCAATTACCTCACTTGTCTTGGAAGCTGGGGGTGGTGGCACAGAAAGCAATTATTTGAATAGGATTCTGCCTCCATGCAACACTGAGGTCCCTGAGATAAAGACAGTAATTTGCCACACTGCAGTCTTGGTGTTCTGTGCTTCTCATACCTGTGCATAGCCTAGGACAAACTTCAAGCATCCTCACTTCTTCCTGGCCTCCTGCACACAAGCCTGCACTGAAATAGTCACAGAAATTCATCCTTCCTACTACTTCAGGCACTTGCAAGGGTTGCTGAGAAATTGATTGAGGCTTTTGCCTTACAAATCAGCAGGACTAGACTGCAGTGGACCCTGAATCATACTTGCCGGCAGTTACAGGACCAGCTGTATATTCTAGTACCATAGTGAACCTCCTCGAGCCATTCCACTTCCCATAATAAAAGGTCATCTTTTCTTCACATGGGAAGACACAAAGGCTGGTCAACCAAAGAAGGTCCAAGTTATTAAACAAAAGTTCTAAAAGATGGGAAAAGAGAGGACAGGGTACAGAAGCCATCTCTTTGTGGCCTTCCTGGGAGCTCTGATCTGGGCTGGTAACACCATTCCCACAGGCCGGCTGGAGGGGTGGTGGTAACAGCAGAGGCACACGTTATGCGGCATGCTCAGGCTGCTCAGATGCCTACACACCACACCACTCTGCACTGCCAGTAGACGGGGCTATTCGTCCCTTTTCTACTAGGCTGCCAAGAGACACAGGGAATGTGAATCTCAAACAACCAATAAATAAAATGTTTAGCATTAGTATTCTCAAATATTGCCTGAGACATACACACAGAAAATCATCCTGTCCCTGAAATTCTAAGTTACTTGGCAATCCTCATTGTCACTTTCTACTCCCATGCTGCAGATGGAGCCCAAGGGATTTTCTGGGGATTAGCAGGTGAGGCACGGTTGAGTCTGGCCAGATGCTAGTCTCTGGCTGGCACTGTCTAGGTGCCCTTTACTAAGGTGTGCACAGAGCAAAAGGGGTTGAGATCAGGAACCAGCCTAGACTGTGGTTTCCTCACTGAGTGGCTCCCCACCCCCAGGGTTGTGGCTGCATTTATGTTGGTGAACAAGGAAAAGCTGCAGAGTTGGGGATGGGGATCAGGGATCCCATGGGATAATGCCATGCCCCCAATATTGCAGAGTTCTTCTGCTAAAAGACAATATTTAAATAACAATGAACACACTGGGTTTCTGTTCCCAGGAAATCTCTGGAACTACAGAGAAATCTACTTACATCTCCAGGAGCCACAACATCATTGCAAAAATAGCAGCCAAGTTTATAACCAGGGATGTTAGCAAAAAGCGATGAGCCCAGGTCAGCAGATGCCACAGGGTGGCTTGGATACACGTCCCCAGCTCCCTGCTGCTTTGGTTTCTTCAAGCCATGTCTCATGACAACAAATGTATCAAACCCCAGGGCAGCATTGATGACCAGCTGCAGATTTTGAGGAACAAGAGAAAGACATTTCAAGTCATGGCTAATTTCACATTCTGCTTCACATTCACATTTTTGAGTTTATTTCTTGCATGACTATGACTAGACTTCAACAGCTGATGGTAAAAATTCCTGAGTATGCAGTGCTTACTAAGGGTGAAACACTTGACAAGAGAGTAACACAATAACCTCACTTATTTTCATGGATCCATACACACATTTGCTACTTATGATGAGGATGTGGAGTCAGAAGTTGGCTCTCTAAGTGGCTCAAGGTCAATGGGTGACAAAGAGGTCAATGACAAAGCTGTGGCCATGAGTCCCCAGACCTACTGTTTCCACCAGGAGGCCAGACTCTTAGCTATCCAAAAATTTCTATTTTGAAGGACAGTTTTTAAATTTTCCATTAACTAGGGTAAGTAAGAACTTACCCTAGTTATACTTTAAGTTATTCTCCCAATAAAAATTTTTGAAAAATGTAGAAAAACTGTCCTAGAAAGGTCAGTTTGAAACATTTCTTCCTTCTATCACCTCCATTTCACTCCTATTTCCTCCTTTTGTCCTTTCTTCTTGCCCTCTTTTTCTCCCCTCTCAGTAGATACATGATAGATAGATGGACATGTTTACATAAACTAAGAAAACATACAATACCATAGCATACTTAACATAATAGTATTTTTCTATATTATTTATTATTTTCCATATCATTATTAAAATTCCCTAAAACACATAGCTGCAAATAGTTGTACACTATTTTATCACAGGTGTGGGGCATAGTTTAGTTAACTATTCAATACTGTCAGCCCTTGAAGCAGTCACTGATAAACAGCAGTCCTCGGGGACAACCTGCTCAGGTACCCCTCTGTCCCCCTCTTGGATAGGAGATTTCTTTCCCCCAATAAATATATTCTGCCTTAAAAAACAAAACAAACAAAAAACAATCTAGCAGTCCTTCAAAGGACTGTTAGAAAGACTCCACAGTAATGAGAACTGTACTACTGGTGCTATGTGAGGTAAAAAGGAAGTCTGTGGGGAAGCCCTCTGGCACCTGCAACAGGCCACACTAGTCTATCCCCCGTACCCTCTGGATTGCAGGCATTAATCACGATTAGAGCCTGGCACCCAACTACCTTTCTCTTGCTGGCAGCAATGACAGTGGGCAGCCAGCGGCTCTCCCTGGTGTCCATCAGCAGGAAGATAACGTCGTGGCTCTCAATTAGCTGCTCCAGCTGCCCCACGTCCCTGCGGGCTTGCTCCAGGGTGATGCTGGAGAAGTTCACAGGATGTCCAGGCATGGGGATACTTGTGTTGAACCCTCTGGCATTCTGGAGAGACAGGGGGAGAGAGTTACCTATGGAGCAAAGGTGAGGCATAAGTTTGGTGCCCACTCTCCCAGCTGGCAGCACACACATGTTCATTTGCAAATCCCTCCATGCCAGATGACAGTGCTTTTCCCTTCCCACTATCTGCCTCCTCCATCTCCTTTGCCTCTTCAAAGCCAAACAAGTTGCAAATCTGCAAGTCAGAATTATATAATCCTCCCCAGATGGCTGGAAGGTATCACCAGGGTGAGTGTAACTTACCTATAGTGAAACACAAAAACGGTGCACATATACTTCAGTGTACTTGGGGACCTGAGATACAGAACATCCCCATAGCCTTGTACCCTTTCCTGGTCAACTCCTACAACCACTGCTCTGGTTTTACAAACTATACACCAGTTTTGGTTGTTCTGCAGCCTCAGCTGAATGACATACTTGAATAGGTACTCAGCATCCTTGCTGGTATCAGCAGCATCTGCCACTTCCTACCCTTATGACTATGGTATGACAGGCTTATTCTCCTCTTCATGAGGACCACAGTCATTTTGAGATGGTGGCTATTAGTAAAAAGCAGCAGTAGATAATATTCATGTAGGTATTTCCGTGCATCTGTTTGCATTTCTCTAAGGTGAACATCAAAAAGTGCCATTTTGGAGTCATCAGGTAGGTATGTGTATATTTCATTTCCTGTTGTTGCAATATCAGTAAAGGATAAAAAGGGATGAGTGCTCCATAGGCTGACAGCATTTAGCATGGTCAGTTTAGTGCATGCACAGTGATGTTTCTGTGGTTTTAATTCTATTTTCCTAGTGATGATTGTTTTGAGATAAGACTTGCTAAGTAGTTCAGACTGGCCTTGAACTTGAAGTGATCTTCCTGTGGCTGCCTGCTGAGTGCTGGGATCACAGGTTTGTGCCACCATGCCTGGTTCTCCTGTTGCCAGCTGATGCTGAGCACTGTTGTGTGCACAGATCTTCACTATGAGGTGCATATCCAAGCCTTTTGGTCTCTACACACACACACACACACACACACACACACACACATACACACACACGTGGACATGTTTTTTCATTATTGAGTGCTACAAGAGTTATTTATCCTGGGTGAAAGTTGTCTGCTAATCTGAATGTGTGGCAGGTATCTCCTCAGTTTGGTCCTCTTTTCGTTTTCTTAATGGTGTCTGGAATCAAAAGTTTAAAACTTGGATGAAGCCCAGATTATCAATCTTTTCATTTAGGGTCATCTTTATGGGGTCAGGAAGTGTTGTAGTTTGAGTTTTTATCTTCACGTCTGTGGCCTTTCTGAGCTGCCACTTAAAGAGTGCTTTGGATAACTAACAGGGAAGGCTCCCTCCCTGTGTGTGCTCGTCTCCATCCTGCCCCACACCCAGCTTCCAGGTGAGTGCTCCTGCCCCACCTGAGCATGCACAGCACCTCCCTAGCCAGAGGTTCCACTACAGCTGGGAAGGTCTCTGGACCCCTTCTCTGCTATGTCCTCATGTCTACCATTGTCCTGTAAATCCCAGGTACCACAAGGGCTCTAAATTTCACTGCCCCAGCTCAGCAGGAAGAGTGGTATCTCCTTAGGCTATACAGGATTGGCAAGGGCAAGAAAGTGCCACCAAGTGATCAGCTGGGCCACTTTGGCTCTCTCTGACAGGACCACAGGACCTACTGTTCATTGTCTGAAGCATCATTCATGTCCTGTGTTCAAACATACAGGCATTTAGGATGGTAGTGCGACTCTAGCATCAGCTACTCATCAGGGTTGGTCACAGACATCTAAGAGTTGAGCTTTAAACCCTCAAGTGTTGGTCTGGGGCTGTGTTCAGTGGTAGAGTATATGCCTGGCATGATCTCCAGCACCATTTAAAGCCTCCAAAATAAACAAAATGCTCTCAACTCTAGAAACCTAAATTTCATTGTTTCACCTTAAAAAAAAAAAAAAAAAAGAGTACCCTCAAATAACTATTGTACTATAAAAGATGGGCTGCTTTCTTATCCAATTAATTCAACTCCAAGATTAAGCAAAGCATTTACATCTGAGCAACACTTTTTGGTTACTTTATCACAGCACTTAAAGGCATCCAAAAAGAGTCAAAGATGCCACCATTTCTGGAAGTAGAAAAGAAGGTATTCTCCAAGGAAAGTCATGCAGATAAAAATCAGGAGTTCATGAGACCTAGCCAAGCAGCTACACTTGCCCATGGCAACTGAGCACTTGGAGCACCTCAAGGTCTGGAGCCAGAACCTGCTTAGTTTGGTCAAGAATATTTTATCACAAAAGCTAAAAGTCTAGCTATGAGAGTGATAAAGGCTGTCCAGGTCAGCCCTTGAATGAAATCATCTGTCTCCAAAGTCTATCACCCAGGGCATGACTTCCTGGTGTACATCCTTCCTGTGAATGTATTATTTTAACTTTTTTTTTTTAGTACTTGGAATTGAATTCAGGATCTTGTGCTTGCCAGGTAGGTGCTTGTGCTGCTGAGCTACATCCCTGGCCCTATTTCAAAATTTAAAATGAAAAAACATCTACCCCCATTACCTTTTCCCCCTAAGTTAGATGTCAGAGGCTTCAAGCACTGAGATTAGAATTTTGCAATAACTAAATAAGCGAGGGATGGTTCAAATTACATAATGTTACATTAACAGAACCAACCTCCACTTTTCCCAGGTGCCTGGAGACCAAAGTCGTTCATCGTCCAGCGGAATTTGAACTCTGAGGCAGGCCAAACCTGGTTTTCTTGGGCCTGGCCCTCTCTCTACCTGGGGTGACCAAGGGGAGAAACATGTCCGCTGACTGCAGAAAGTGACGTCAAATCAACCGTATGGAGAAAATCTCATAAGCCTGGCTAAGCAACAAGTTAAATAGTTTACAAGTGTTCTTTTTGCATTTGAAGAATTATACTGGCACTTTGTACCCAGTTATTATATTTACAAGGTGTGAGGGATAAAACATAAGAAACAGCTAGAATCCAGGACTTAACAGTCATAGGGAGCACACAGTCAACACAGTCAACTCTAGCCTGAGTCACTCGAGAGGCTCTTTCCAGGAAAGCTGGATTTGCTCTTTAAGGCCTGGCCCAACCTGGTCCTCACTTCCACTGAAGCTTCCTTTCGTCTTCCTTGACCCTCCCTGCTTCTGACACCATGGTTTTCTTCCTTTCTGCTTTTCGATAGGGCTATGACTTCCTCTATTTGTTTTGGGGCTTTTTTCAAAACAGGGTCCTGCTATGCTGCCAAGGCTGGTCTCAAACTTGGAATCCTCCTGCTAGACATTTGAGGATTGGAGCTACAGGTGCATGCCCTTCAGGGTTTTCTTTCATACCCAACAAGTACCAGCATAGGTATCTTGGCTCCTCAGTAAGTTCAGCTGGCTCCTACTCATTGCAGGCTTCAGTTCCTTCAAGGAGTCTTTTGATTCCACCTCCTGCATCAAGCTGGCTAAGGCTGACCAGAGACACCAGCTTATAGCAAGTGAGCTCTTGGGTCATGTGCTCATTAGAATTGCACACACTTGAGAAATTACTTGCCAAGGACATGCCCCTCCCTGACTGTAAGCCCTGTGTGGGGAATGGAGCACTGGCACAGAGTTGGCCTTAATTACATAAGAGTTGAACAAATAAGCAGAGGGAATTGCATTGGGCCACAGTCTAAGGCCAAGAGCTGGGTAAACAAAGATTTAGGCAACTTACAAGTAGCAAACTTCAGGTTCCAAGCCAAGTCTGGAGGGATCCTAGGAGAGTTCATAATATCCCCCAGTGACAGGCTCGGTTATTCTTCCCAACTATGCCCTTCCTGCCTCTAGCAGAATTATGTCTACCCCTCTGCCAAGTAGCTTTGTAAGACTCCCATGAGAAAGGCAGCATCTACTGCCCACCCCACTCACTAGGGTTCAGCCTCTACCTTGCTTTGGTGATGGGCAGAGAGAGTACTGCATGGTGCCATGCCTGAACTGGCACTGTAAGAGGATGGATACCACCTACACTTTTCTGGCTTCTGCAATCTATCATCAGAGTCACAAGAACAGGAAGAACGGGTGACTCCAGTTTGAGATAACAACACCCAGACAAACTGGAAGCAGACTAGAAGCCAAAGCCCATCAAGCAACGGAATCACAACCAGCCTACACACCCCTAAGCACAGAGCACAGGTGTGCTGCCACAGGCATGGAGATCTGGGGTTGGGTGAAGCACACTATTGTGACAGCAGAGCCCTCCGGATGGAGGGGATATGACTTTATTTCTTTTGGCATTAGGCCATAGCTGGGCACATGGCAGATACCAGATCAATACCAATGAAGTGAACCCAGTAACGACTGTTCCTCAGGGATACGGGTGAGAGGCGCTGCCCACACTGCCTACACAGCAAACATTTTCAAAACAGATGAATGAAGGGAAGGACTTCAGAAGCCCTTCCTCTAGTGAGGGCTCAGAGCCTTTCTAGCATTTTAAGTCTAAGCAGGTGGTTTGAAGAGACCTAGTCTGGCTGCTGTCCCATAGGTCAATTAAACATTCAAGATCCTCAAAAGCTTCTCAAGATTTGGAGTCAAATGAGGTAAATAAGTTGTCTCATTATCTGGTGTAGCTAAGGCAAATCATAAAGCACAAAAATAAATAGCAGCTAGAGCAAAAAATTCAACTTTCACCCAATGTTCTACATACAGTCTTGCATTATCTGGGCCAGGGAGATAGCTCAGTAGAATAAGTGTTTGCCTAGTAAGCGCAGGGTCCTGAGTTTAATCCCTGGTACCACAAAAAAAAAAAAAAAAAAAAAAAAGTCTTGCATTATCCAATTTAATTCCATAAGTAACTATCTGCTGATGGAAGAAAGGTAATATCCTACATCATGGTCACCATAGAGCCCTTCAGAACCAGGCAGGATGTGAAAGTATACATACTTCTGAATTCCCCAACTTAAACTTGTATAATGCTGGGCAACTCACACAACATTATTTCATGTATTCTTCATTAATATTTAAATTAATCTTTTTGGAAGAGTTGGGTGGTTTGGAAGTGGGGACATAACACAGGGCCTCACACACACCAGGTAAGTACTCACCACTGAGCTGCACCCCTGCCTCTAATCGTATTTTTTAATCCCTATCTCTGAGAGGAGAAAACAGGTGTGGCCACTCGGTGAGTGCCTGGAAGGAATTCTCTCACCAAGACCACCTTCTCCAATACTGAAACATCTGTAGACACAGGAAGCCATGATGCTCACTGAGAGTGCCAACATACCACTCCGGGGAAGATTCTCTGCAGTCGGTCGGCTGCTGCCAAGGCCTTGGGCTTGCCACCCCCCAGACAGTCTTCGAACTCGTAGAGTGGCTGCCTCACAGGGTTTGAGTAGGAGATCTTGGCATTGTCCATAAATGTGATATGCCTGACACCCCAGCCCTGTGTGGAGACAGAAGAGCATGCTGTCACTAACAGACACTTCACAAGTGCCTCCCAGGTCCCCTGAAGGAGTTTTACTTCCAAGCAACCTAGAAGCTTTAAGATACAGGAAACTTAGAAACTGAGTTGTGCAAGCTCAGTTTTTGATAAACAGACTGCCATCTTGCTTTAAAAACACAAAATAACTTGTACTGTAATGTCACGTAACTCAGTAGTGTCCCAAATTTTCTGATCAAGGAGATTATGGGGCCAAAGAGGAAAATGATCGATGATGTAGAGTGTGCCTAAGGAGAGTCACATGGAGAGAAAACATTCTCTCAGGCTTTCACTGACAGCACATTAGCCAAACAATGGCCGTGACTCATCCACATGGCTGACACTGACAAAGGATCTACAATCTGAGGTACAGGATCTCAGGATAAATCCTGAGGGGATTTCACTGACCTTATCAGACCCAAATGCTACAACTCTTGTTGCATAGGTCTTGCTTTATGTTGGTCTTAACCATCCAGCAGAAAAGTATAAAAACAAAATAGAAGAAGTAAAGCCATGCTGTTACGTTGAGCTGTAGGGTACTCAAGTCAACAGTTTCTGACATTGCCAGTCAAGCAGAAGACCCAATATTATTATGGACTACTGGACTCTTTTAGAATATTTTGTTGAGTTAACACACCTATAATATTCAAATAATGGAACTTAACAAAAAAAAGGGGATACAGATGAATGTCCATTTTGTATCTGTGTATTCACAGATAGATTAGAATAGATATATAGTTACATTCTCTTAATGAATAGAGGGATTTGTTCTAATAGTGTTTGTTAATAGGATATCATGTCCGCATCTTGTACAGCAATTAACCACTAGGAAGAATGTATGCAATGTGGTAATTACTGAAACTGTCCTACCAATTTGGTTTGAAACTGTCTCATTGCTATTTGTTTCTCAATAAAATTATGGGAAAAAAAAAAGATTTAAACATAATGAACATCACAAACCATTTATAAAAACTTCTTAAATAAATGCTTTATGCTAGTTGCAAATACTATGCTGATAACTCTTCCAATAAGAGTTACATATTTAAGTGTACAGAATTCGGAATGGTGTTTTGGTTTGGGGGAATTTTTTTTCCTGGCAAATCACATGTACTGCTGATGTAGAGTATCAGATGAAAGAAATATCAGAGCAACCACTGAGAATTTTTAGAATAACTTGGTACCTACCTGAAAAACATTGTGTTTTAAACTCTCAATTTTAGAAAAGTTTCCACATAATTAATTGGCACTTACTTTACGCATGTTTATGTATAATGGTCCTACAGGAAACTTTATTAGCAAATGTATGCATGATGTTAGATTCCACTCTGGTCTACATAATGCATCACATAATTAGATATCATTTTGCTTTTGAAATGCTTATCTGCCTATCAAATAAGTTATTTAACTTCTTTACAATGTTTTAAATTGCTATACAATACAATATCCTACATTTAGGCAGGAGGGTTTATTTTTTGTTGTTGGTTTTTCTTTATTGTTCATCGTGCTATGAAACACAAATGAAATTCTCTTAATTTATAAAAGGATAGTATGAATTACACTTTGGAAATGGTTGTGATATTGAGCCGTGAAGTTCAATCTATATAATATAGGTACTGCTCTTTCAGACAAGCAATCCATTTTTGATGACTTCTTATTTTTTTGAAATTGCTTTAACTGTTAATCACTGTGGTTTCCAAATATTTACTTCAGGAGCAAATATTTTAAGATAAGCATATAGTTGATGAAAAATATCAATCTGGCTTCTATTTTTGTGAATTATTTTGTCTTTACTGTTTTTGTTTCATTCATATTAGCTCCGTTTTCACATGAAAGCAGAATGCCACCTTGTATGGAACTCCCCTCTTTTTGGTTATAAGACCCATGAACAACTTTCCTGCCTAAATTTTTCATTTTTGTTTACTTACTGTCATGCAAAGAAGGGATATTTATTTTCTTAAACATTTCTATAAAGCAGGAAAAAATGTTGAACTTCAAGTTTTTTGTTTGGTATATCCAGGCACTGTCTAAGGCCTCATATTGCTATTAATAAAGGAATGTACTTCAGAATAGCAGTACAATTTATGCAGATGCAGAAGTGATATCAAGAAACAATGACTTATTAAAATTGCTTTTCACTAACATAATTTTGAAGTTGATGAGAAATTTTATTAATATTCCAATTATAACTTTAATTCAAGAACATTAATTTTACCAAAAGAAAAACTTAAAAATTTCTGTTCAGGTTAAGGCATTAGTGCTCAAATAAAAAGAAAAAAAAAGGAAAAAAATTTTTAAAAAGACAAAATAATGATATGTTCAGTGCCCGGTTTCCTGCAGTAATGGGACTAAGAAAGGTCATCGTGGGTCTAACTAATAGCTCATTATTTTTGATAATGCAATACCTAAAAAAGATTTGGAAATAAATCCAATAAGAAATCTCTATTTTCTGCTTCAAAAGGATTAGTGAAAGCCCCTGAATATTTTTTGTTTCCCTTAATGAATAATTAACTATAACAACTCCTTGCAAAACTCATTTAAGGCCTCAATTAACTCTGCAGAAAAATGATTTACAAGTCATTTCCCACTGCATAGCAATAAGGGATATTTTATACTATTTCTCCAAGATAGAAAAACCTTATTAGTAACTGGCCACTTATGGAATGATTCTTTTTCTCATAAATAGCTTTTATTATGTCAGAGACTTCAATTACATCTATTAAGTTTCATAAAACCATGTGATTTCCAGAGACACAAGCTTAAACACCATGTGGTATCTATCATCTGAGTATAAACAAAAAAATAATTATATAGATGGGCAGAAAGGGACAAAGGGACAGATCTCTTGCAATGGAGAAGTGATCCAAGGGACTGGGCTGAAGGGTGAGGAGGGGAAATAAGAATAAAGATATGTCATGTACAGCATCTTACCAACCCCAGTTCTCATCACCACTGTATGCCACAACATGAGCTGAGTCAAACAATATCAACAAGTATGAAAAGGAGGACAGGGAAACCTACAGGGGAGGGGAAAGAGTAGGGAAGGGCAACCTCCCCCCACAACCAGTTATATACATGTAAGTACTCTTGAGATGGCTGTAAGCTGTGTGAATAGCAAAAATGTACATGTAAAGCAGGATTTAAATTTTTAAAAACCCACATGATTTTAAAGTTTTTGTTTGTTTGTACTGGGGATTGAACTCAGGACCTTGCACTTGCCAGGTAGGTGTATATACTGCAGAGCTATCTCCCCAGCCTCCACATGATTTTAAAACTGGACAGAACCTCAAAATCCTTAGTTAAATAATTTTATTTTATAGATACAGAGCTGAAGTATAGCAAAAGTAAGTGAGTTGCCTAAAACCACACGTGTGTTAATAGTGGGGAACAAATGCACTCCCCAAAGCTGTGCCCAAGTGGAGATGCCAACTCTCCAGGGTACAATGGGCGTGTTTTCTAGACCATACATAAGTACAGCTCTCGGGCACTATCCTTGGGTTCTGAAACTGCAGATTCTACCAAATATGGAAGAGGGGGGGAAAAAAAGAAACCTGTCCCTGTCCTGACAATGTACTGACATTTTTTTCTTGTCATCATCCCTTAAAAATCACAATGTAGGACTTGGGATATAGCTCTGTGGCATAAGTGCCTGCCTGACAAGTACAAGGTTCCCAGTACTGCAAAAACAAATAAAAATAAATTATAATCTAACAGCTATTTACATAGCATTTACATTGTACTAGGTATTTTAGGGGTGGTTTAAGGCACCTATTGAGAAGATAAACAGTAGTACTACATTTTTATGTTTGAGACTGAAGCATGCCCTGTGCTGGTACCCACGGAGGTCTGAAACAGTCCCCGAGTACAAGAGGGTAATGGAACAGTGACTACAGGCAAGCCCCACTGTGTCTGGCTGCGAAGCTATGACCCTGCATGCTCACTGACTCACTTCAGTGTTTTTCAACTGGGGACTCTGAAACTCAGCCTGATGACTTTAGGGGAAAGTCAGTGAGGACCCAATCCTCACCTCGCTCATGAGCTTCGTTTGGGTAGCTGCTAGTTTTGAAGCCACAGGTGATTTCTGGCTCGCCCAGTCTCAGGAGATAAGCAGAAAAACTCCAGAAGCAAGTTGCTGTGGTCTGGGGATATTTCTGTTTGCAGTTGTTTCCTGATTGGAAGGAAGGCAGGGAAAGCAGCCTGGGAACGTGCTATGTAGTGGGAAGAAAGCCAGACAAACTGCGAACATGCTGTGTAGGCTTGTCCCAAGCAGATGTACTTCCACACCTGACGGCTGGCTTACTGGGATGCTATTTTAAAGGGCTAATTTGCAAGGATTAAAGAAAATTACAGTGCTCCATGTGGAAGGGGAGGCGTTGGTGAGAAAACCATTGTACTGGTGAAAGGTGGGAAACCAGGGTCTTCTTCCTGAAAGGTAATTTGGTAACATGTTTCTAGAATCTTAAAAGATTCTCAAGCATTCTGATCTATTCCCAGCAGTGTATCCTAGAAAATCACGCGGCACACCACCGAGGAGCCAATCACGAAGATATTCTTTGCAACACAACTTCTAATTGAAAAAAGCTGGAAACAATGTCAATGCCAAATATTAAAGGAATGTTTCCACAGATTAGGAGAAATGATTGAATGTGTCATTTTATGAGGAAGCATATTCTATGGCCATTAAAAAGTTCTCATAGCACTCCAGAGTCTGAGACAGCAGGATTGTGAGTTTGAGGCCAGCCCAGCCTGGATGACAGAGTGAGACCCTGTCCCAAGGAAAAAAACAGCAAGAAAGACTTATAAACACCACCTTTTTCTTTTCTTTAGTTTTCTGAGACAAAAGTCTATGTAGTCTGGCTTTGAACTTACGATCTTCTTGCCCTAGCCTTGTGAGTACTAGGATGGCAGACATGTGCTATCACACCTGGCTTACAAGTGTTATCTTTAATGACATGGGGACAGTGAATTTCATAAAAGTAGAAATAAATTAATAAAGAAGAAAGCAGATTCTTTATCATTTTTTTGACCAATTTTGCATATTTCTGACTGATAATGTGCACACCTAATTGAAGACAATAGTACGCAATGTAAGAATCATTGTTAAATTCCTATCATCTTGTTTAGAGAAATCCTGCACTTTTTAAAAGTTTTTTTATTTTTTAATTCTCTTTAAAAATAAAAAAATTGAAAATATGTAATGGTATAATCGATATGAAAATAACAGCCAAATGAAGGGAGGGGAAACAGAATTATTCTCCTGAAAAATTTAGATATTATTAAGATTGTTGATATCAATCCAAACTAGATTGTCACTTATAATCCTCAATGCAAATAGTAAGAAAATGAGTCAAAAAGACTCAAAGAAGTAAGATAAGAATTACAATGGTATGTGCTAAAATAATTACTATAATTAATAATTAACATAAAATAAAGCAGTAGTGGAAAAATAAAAAAAAATAAAAAAATAAAAAAATTTAAAAAAAGAAGAAAGTAGATATTGATGAATCTGAAAGGAAAAAACATAAAAATGACAGAACTAATCAATCAACTAGTCTCTACAATGACTGATGAAATTGTCTAGGTTTTCTGAGAAGTCTGAATAAGAGGGAAAAAAGAAAAAGCACACAATACAACCTGGGAATGTGGACAGATTAAAGTAAAATAGAAAAGATTTTAAAGATAATAAAGTATCAAAAGTATTTAATGTCAAATTTTAAAGTTACAAGGAATGACTGGGGAAAACAAACTGACCGAAAAGCAAGACAAAATCTGAAGAGGCCAATCAACACAGAAACATGTATCCCACTTCCCAAAGATCCTCTGCCCTATTCTGCCACTAAAATTCTAGAAGCCACCACACACAGATAAGAGTTGTAACTGAATTTTTGCAAGGGACAGATAATTCATACATTAAAACTCTCCTGGAGCATAGAAAAAGGCAGAAAAGTTCTAAGTTTATCTTATAAAGTAACCAAAACTCAGCTGTGAAACATACACACTTTAAGAAAAAAATACTGCTACAGAATAACTTGACTTATGGATATAAAACTTATAAATAAAACCTTAACAACTGAGTACTACAGTATTTTAGAAGAATCATAAGGGCCGGCCAAATAGCTCAGTGAATTAAAGCACCTGCTTAGGCAGATGCAGAGGCCAGGGGTTCAATCCTCTGCCTGCCATGGAGGCCCAGCCTCGAGGGCTCACTGAGATGGGTGTGGTGAGTGCACGCCTATAATCCCAGGGCTTGGGAGGCTGAAAACAGAAGGATCACTACAAGTTCGATCTGTGTAGTGAGACCCTGTAGACCCTGTACTAAATACATTAAAAAATAAACAAATGAGAATCACAACTGGAGCTTATTCTAGAAAAGCTCAATAGCAGAATACTTTGAGTATTCAACATTCATAGCTGAGTGTGATATCACACATCTGTAATCCCAACATTCAGGAGGCTGAGGGAGGAGGATCTCAGGTTCAAGACTGGCTTAAACAATTTACTGAGACACTGTCTCAAAAAACAAATAAAAATACTTCAACATTCATTTCTGATATAAAACTGTAATCAACTTCCTTAATTTATAAATAGTAGTTAGCAAAAGCCACTATGGGACACCAACTTTGTCATTACAGGTTTTAACAACAGAGGTGTTAACTCTCCCTCACTGTTCTCTATGCAGGCCTAAACAATTCTACAAGACTAGGAAAAGACAAACAAGAAATCTTGGTGAGGAAAACTCACTAAGCCTGTAAAATTCAACAGATTAAAAAAAAAAAAAAACTATTAGAACTAAGAGCGCTTCTTAGAAGACAGCAGGATGAAAAAGAGCATGCAGAACTTACTGCAGTGTTTGTCTCCTATCCCAAAAACAGCCAGTGGAAGACCTAATGGGAGAATCTATCTCTAAAGAAATAAGCTAAATAAGACACATGCAGCTGGGCCTGGTTGAACACGCTTGAAATCTCAGCACTCTAGGAGGCTGAGAAAGGATGATCAGAAGTTTGAAAACAACCTGGATAACTGACAGATTTAGGGAAACCCTGTCTCAAAAAGGGGGATGGGGGAGGAATATAGTTCAGGGTGAAGGCCCTAGGTTCATTCCCAGGTACAGAAAGCAACCAAATAAATAAAAGACACATTCAAGGCCTAGCAAAAGACAAGGGTAATCTAAATAAGTGACAACTACAACTATAACACACAAAGGGAAATTCTGTAAAGATATCAACTCCTTCCAATTTATCTACAAATTCACTGTCATTCCAATTAAGGCAGTGAGCAACACTACAGGATCTATGGGTAAGGCAGAGAATGCACATGTAAGACTCAGGCACAAGGGGATTTAGTATCCCATATTGGTGTGTGGAAAACTAAAATTGAGCTTCTTTTCCTTCTTTTGTGGTACTGGGAACTGAACCTAAGGCCTCCTCACAAAGCTACATCTCCAGCTGTTTTATATGTGTAGTTTAAGGCCATCTCTCACTAAATTGCATAGGAGGGTCTCAAATCTACAACCTTCCTGCCTCAGCCTCCACGGTCCTGGGATTGCAGGTATGTACCACCAGACTCAGCTAGACTTAGCTTCTTGAATAAATGCCATTAATATAATTGATTTTTGTTAGACTTATTAAATCTATTAATATAATAGATTTTTGTTTGATTTTTTGTTGATTTTATTTCTCTCATGTGATAAAAATGAATTCTAAATTGATAAGCACATAACCATAAAATGAAGAGTTCTGTGAAGCATATGGAAAAAGACTACACATTTAAAAACATAAAAAAACTTTTATATGGATAACAGTACTTTGAATAAATTGAGAAAATATTTCCATATTATGTAAGAAAAGGTTACTATACATGTAAAATACAACTATAAATCCATGAAAGAAACACAAACCAAAAAATATGAATAAAAGAAACAATATTCTTCATGAAAAAATAAAGATTTATACTCCCCAAACAAATTTAAAGTTAAATGATAAAAAGGTTGGCAGCCTAGATTCACAAAGACCTAAAAATGTTGATACTATCAAATCTGGGAAAAAGCATGAAAAAGTCTCTCACATGGTTCATAACAGAGACCATAGAAAGAGAACTGAGATGTGCTGTGTGTGTGGACCAACTCCCCATGATGCACATGGTCATTATGTGCCACAAGTAGGCACTAATAAAATAGGATTTTTAAAGTAGGGCAAGAAAGAGAAGTAAAAATTAAGACAAAAAAAATTAGAATCCAAATATCAAAACAAAAGAAGAAAAGACACTGATAAGAGAAGAAAGAAAGGCAAGCTGGAAATGTGGGAGTGAGGCGAATGCCCACCTGCACCCCTAGACACGCACCATCAGCGTCCGGGCCACGTTACAGCCCAGGGTGCCGGCTCCCAGCAGCAGGCACTTGGCTGACACAACCTTGTCCAGGTCCAGTGTTGGGACCAGCCTCCAACACATGAGTTTGAGGTTCAGATCCACCGACGACTCAGCTAGCCTGGGAAAGGAGGGATGGGTTAGTTCAGGCATCTGCTCATCTGTGCCTGATCCTGTCCTAAAGGATAAAAAGCAGCCATGAGAGAAAAACACAAACTAAAGAATTGGGGGATTGTGTGTGTGTGTGTGTGTGTGTGTGTGTGTGTGTGTGTGTTTTATTTGATACAGGGTCTCACCACGCAGCTCGGACTCACAGTGATCCTCCTATCTCAGTGGTGATATGAAGCTGGGTTCTTGCATTTGCCAGGCAGGCACTCAGACTGCTGAGCTATCTCCCCAGCCCAAGAATCAGAGAACTGTGATCAAGGGAAAACAGGACAGAGCCTGGGGAAAAGGAGCTGGTGGGGCCAAGGAAATGGCTCAGTGGAATAAGCACTTCCCTGGCAAGTGCAAGCACCTGAGTTCAATCCCTGGTTCCTCAAAAAAAAAAAAAAAAAGGGGGGGGGGGCTGGACTGCCACAGTGCAGTATGGAGGACCACCTGGATGACTCTCCTTGAAGAAAAAGCAATTATCTCCATTTTGGCTGAACCTGACCCTATTTCCATGTATTGATATGTACAGAGCTGCCTAAGACTTTTCCTTATCCCTTTAATTGGCTTTAAGCAATGCATGGGTCCAGCTGAGGTGCTGATGGCAGTCTTTGAAGCAAGACAACAGGCAATGTCTCTTCCCATCCTTCCCAGAAGGATGTGTGAACCAGAACGAGGCGGGATGAACAGCAGTGCTCCACATGTCAGCTAGAATCACCTCAAGATGAGTCTATGACTTCCCAGGGCTTGAAAGATTACACATCAGAACTGAAACATACTACTTCCATTGTGTTATGCAGACTAGCCCAGCTCACGGCACTCATGCATTGCCTGCCATGCTCAGAGTCACTCATCCTTAAGCCACACTCCCTTCTTCACAAATAATAAAATCTGGTTTGGTCCTGGGTCAAGGCCTTTTGTTCTTGTTAACCATCACCTTAGCCAGATCTTAGAACCCCCTTGATTCCTCCACCATTTTGGATATATTACTATGTCTTTATTTATACCATGGGTTGTACTAGGAGTGGTAGATTGGAATTAATTTGATGGGATTATAAATATAAACTTCCTGGACCACAAGGAGGACCAGTCTCCTGATGGGCAGATATACGACCTCTGACAGCCAAGGTGAAAAAGAAAGCTGAGTGAGTGACAACTCCTATGTCTAATGTGAGAAACACATCCTGGTCAGAAGCGAACCCTGCATACTGAAGACAGAAATGCCTTCCAGAACTCCCTAAAGAAGTGTTTTTCTCATCCACTTAACATGACACTGGTTTCCACAAGTTCCTCCTATGATGTCCTCTGAGTCAGGCCAATGGGCTGAAGCCAAAAGTCAATGAATAAGGGGTCAAAAAACACCTAGAACCAGTATCTGTGGCTAAGTCCTAGCTCAAGTCCTTGAAGCTAAGACAAAATCAGAACATCTGTTCTGCACAGACAAATTGTGCGCCCTTCAAGACCTGCACCCGAAGGTCAACTCTCACAGCCAAACCCAAACTCAGCAGTGGGGATCAATGGTGCTCATCAGTGTGACAACACTCCTTCCTCTCCAAGGAAGACCAGCCAGAGATGGTTGCTGTTGTGGTTGTGTCTAGATATCGAAAGCCTCTTATAATCACAGGTGGGGATTTGGGGAGGTACCTGAAATACAGGGCTTTTACTGACTTGCTGTTAGGAGATGGGGCCTGGTCAGAAGAAGGTATCCCTGCGGTGTGACCAGAAGGGCTGCCTTCCCTCCCCAGCTCCTCCTTTTGCTCTCTGCTTTCCCAGTACCATGCTGTGAGCAGCTCCTCTCACCCCTGTTCATCATGCCTGGCTGCCTTGGAGCTGACTAATTGCAAACAAAAAGCTTTCTCCTTCCTGGCGCAGGAGCTAGGGACCATGCTTGGTGAGTAAGAACATGACTGAGACACTCACCTCTTCGGATCCATACATTCGCTGAGGTTTACCATCCTTGGACCCATGCCTCCCTTCTGGTTTTTTTCCCATCCAACAGCTTTAGGGCAATCTTAAGGCAAACAAAACACTAAATTTAAATAACAAAGGGAAAAATTTAGAGATGTCACATAGCAAACTTGCTTCAGAAAGGTGAACATTCATAGCAGTCCATGTCCCATTTCTCCTTTCCTCTGAGTCTTTCTAAAGGCCAACAGGCCTGAACTCCAGGAGCTGGCCACAGCTGCTTCATCATCCTGCTTGACACTAGGAATCCTGCTTATGAGACCATCGAATGCCTTGGAGACAGCCCTCCTCCCGCGCCCAGGGTGTGTCTGCTTCCTCTCTGACTACATGTAGCTCAGAGACAAACCAGGAAAAGGCGCCCCACCTGAGTAAGACCTACCTTGGCACAGATTCTGCTGTTCCTACTGGGATCTGAACCTCTCAGTTCAGTGTATTGTATCTGTTCAAGCCTCTCAACATCCATGTGCAAAAAGATCCTTGTGAAGATGACTGTCCCACTACATACTGCTTCTTCCTTTAAGCTCGTCCTTAGTTGCTCAGTAACCCTCTTCCTGACTTATCTCTTCTCTCCTGCCATGGGAGACCCTAGAATTCCAATTTGAGCAGTTCCCAAAATATGTCTTACTCCAAGATAAAGAGCCTTGGGAAGCTGAGCATGATGGTGCATGCCTGTAATGCCTATACCTGGGAGACTGAGGCAAGAGAATCATCATGAGTTTGAGGCCAGCCTGGGCTACACAGTGAGTTGAAGGCCAGTCTGAAATACAAAGTGAGACTCTGTATCAAAAACCAAATAGAAATAAAAAACAGAACCTTGGGCAATGCTTCATACTTATATCTGTACTCTCTACCTAGTCCCCAGTGCCATCTACATGCATCTGGAGACTCACTTTACAGTGAGGAAAAGGAGACCTCTGAAGCTTGCAGGAAGAAACTGCTTCATCTCCCTCGGCTTTGTGTTTCCCAACCTATCTGGCTTTCTGACTCTGCTTCCACCACACCTCAAGCACCAACTCAACCTCCTAAAGCAGCCAGGGAATGGTGCTCGATTTTATCATTGCAAAATTCTCTTGTCCTATAATTAGTCAGATAAGACTAATTATAGGACAAAACCAAAATAAATCCCTCCATATTCATGAGGCTATATGTATTTCTAAGATAGATATATCTGAAGCTTATCAACAATGAAAATGACTATATATGAAAATAATAATTTGATTTAACAAATATCCCTACACATCATTTAGACCCATAACACATGCCCCAAACCAATGAGATGACAACTTCAGGAGAAAGGAGGTACTGCCCTCTTCTACCCAGGAGCAAGGAAGAAAATCCTAGGGACAGGCGTCAGAAGGGACCCACCACCCTCAGCAGTGCCCACTGTGCCTTCCACCAGTGGCCAGGCCTGGATGTGTCTCCACTCTATGAAGCAGGCCAGGTGCATCACAGGGAGCAAGAGGAGACAAGGATATTTAAAGTTGAAGTTTCTGTCTCTGGAGTGTTGGAATGGAACCCAGGTCCTTGTGCACACCAGGCAAAAGCTATATCGTAGTCATCTACGAGAAAGCCACTTAGACTACTGCCACTACAACTGTGGACACCTGAAAATGCTGTCATGCATCAGTCAGCAGTGGGCTGATTTCACCATCAGTGCTGGCTGATTTCACCATTGTGTAAACATCACAGCCTATACTTATATAGAGTGAGGGGCTACAGTGGCACCAGGTGACTTGACTATGGGACGCCACAACATGGTGGTATATCACTGGAGACACTGATTTACAGCATGGCACAGCACTTGAACATACTCCTGTGTATTCCTGAAGCCCAGGGATAGAGAGTATCTACAATGTTTTGCTTATAATAAGGTTGTATCTGCAGCTAATAGGAAAAATAACAACTGTCTTTCCTAAACAATAAATACAGAGAACCCAAGCTATACTTCCAGCCCTTTTGATACAGGATCTTATGAAACTGCCCAAGCTGGCCTCAAACTTATGACCCTCCCATCTCAGCCTCCCAGTAGCTGGAATTATAGCTAGGACCCCGTACTTGGCTGATACTTTGTGTTACTTAACTCTCACATCAATTTCCTAAATAATCTTTAAATTGTGGTATTAGATAAACAAGCATCTAAGGCAATGTTACACAGAAGCTATTTTACAATGGGCCAGAAGAGGGTGCTACAGCAAATGAAAACTCTAAGGCCTCAGATTTCTGAAAGTGCTGAACTAAAACAGCAGCACACAGCTTCCAGTGACTGAGCATGTAAAGCAGGCTGTTGCTCTCTCCCTGGTATCTGTTGAAAACATCTTTGCCAGTCACAACTGAAGCCTCTGATTTCTGCGCTCTAGAAAATATATCTCAGAAGAGATGGGGCATCTCTACCATTCCCCAACACACACACACACACACCCATGGACTGAAGAAAGTAACATGCTGGGAATATGGGGAAGTTGCGAGGAGCAAATCCAACAGCCCACATGAGGTGCTCCGTAAGGCCTGAGTCCCATCATCATGTGGAGTGACTGGAAAGAGGTACAAATAGTGCATTATAAACAGGGAGATGGGAAATTCACAAAACACTGATGGAGTACCTATATATAATATGCTAGACATTAAGCTCTTTTTTTAACACAGCACACAGAGTTCTCATATGAGATAATAAGGGAGGTATGGTGGCATACACCTGTGCTCCCAGCTCTCTGGGAGGCTGAGGCAAGAGGATCTCAAATTTCTACCCAGCGGGAGAAACTTTGCTAGGCCATAGTTACCTCAAAATTAAAAGGAGGGAGGCACTAGGGAACGTGGCCCAATGCAAGGCCCTGGGTTCACCTCTGGTACCATTAAAAAAAGCAACACTTCTTAAGGTAAGTATAGGCATTATGCCCTTCTCTTTTTCTTTCTTTTCTTCTTCTTCTTTTTTTTTTTTTTTTTTTTTAATGTATTTCGTTGTTGCAGGGTCTCACTATGCAGCTCGGACTCGTGGTGATCTTCCTGCTTTCAGCCTTCCCAGCTCTGGGATTACCATGCTAGGACTCTGGCTGGCTCAGGCAGCCTTGGGAGCAGGGCTGGTACAGCATGTGGTGTGGGGGACTGAACCGTGGTCCCTGTGCTTGCCTAAACTTGCCTAAGCAGGCACTTTCATCCGTTGAGCCAGCCCCTTCTCTTTTTTTTATTTTGGTGTTCTTAAGACAGGGTCTTGCTATGTAATTCAGGCTGGTTTTGAAGCTACTATGTACCCCAGGCTGGCCTCAAACTCACAGTGAACCTCCTGCCTCAGCCTCACAAGTGCTGGGATTATAAGCATGTGATGCCACACCCAGTTTACGTCCTTATTCTCCTCAAATGAGTATGTGTTCAATTTTTATGGCGTACATAAAAATGTAAGTATGTACCCATGTACATACAATACACATTGATGTGTAAATATCTCCAGTCTGACTTTCCCGCTTTGTAACATCGGTCACAGGATCAAACACAGACAGGAAATGTGGCAGGAGAAATGGCACTTCTGGTGACTGGTCTACTATATGGGAAACAAGATCACACACAGCTTTAAGTGTATAACAAATATGTAAGTGCATTAATACTTCAATCTTCCTTTAAGAAAGAACAAAAGTAAAGATTTGTGTGAAACAAAAATAAAAATGAAGACTAAGGGAAAAAACCCTCCGGGTTGCTGGTATGATAGAACACATCCATAATCCCAGTACTTGGGAGGCTGAGACAGGAGGATAACAAGAGTTCAAAACTAGCCTGGGCTACAGTGAGTGCAAGGCCAGTCTAAAATACATAGGGAGACCTTGTTCCTCACCTCAAAAAAAAAAAAGACCCTCAAGATTGAAAAAACTACCTAAAGAAGACTTCAGAAGGTGCCAACACCTGTCTTTGATTCAGCTAGATGTCAGGGCACAACTCTGCTCCAAAGAGAAGTTTGCCCAGGCAGCGAGACAGAAGTTATGGTGAAGGATGGAGGAAGCCATCCTAACCCAGCTCCTGCTGGCTGAGAGCTCCTAAATCCTCAGAGACCAGTGCATTACCTGGGCTGAAGGTCACTTCTGGAAGCCTCACTTCAAAGATGATGCTGTGCGCAATGTCTCTCACCCCCTGCATGGTGCGATCACGGAAGCAAATGACTTCAATGGACTGGAAGCTGCTGCTCCTGTCACAAAGCAAGTTGTACAGGTATTACTATACATTTATAAGGAAGAAAAGAAACAGTCCAATAAAAGCTTCACAAAACAGCTGCAGAGAATTCAGGGCATTTCAATTCCTTCTCTTGGACACCCTCAGTATGGCCTTAGCCAAAGAGATTCTGAATAGATCCACACATGCTGGAGAGAAAGCTCAGCAGCATAAATGCCTGCCTAGGAAGTACAAGGTCCTGAGTTTGATTCCCAGTACCAAAAAGAAAAGGAAGGGAAGGGAAGGGGGGAAGGGGAGGAGAGGAAGAAGGGGCAAGAGGAAGGGGAAAAGGGAGAGGGAGGAGGGGGAGTGGGGAGGGGAGGGGAGGGGAAGAGAAAAACAAAAATGAATAGACCCACATAAGCATCCCTTGTCCCACTATTTGGAGCTGGATGCCGAGTTGGCTGAATTTCCTTCTAGGTGAATTTTACATTCTACTCACACTGCGGAGAAACAATTGTGACAAATGAGGCTTTCAAGCTCAGGGGAAAGTACTCCCAGGACCTTATCAAAGCACCTATGAGACCTGGGCCCTCCCCTGCCCCTTCCTCCCTCAGGGACAGTCTGAATTATCTCCCTTTCTGTGCCTGAGTAAATACCTTCTCCTAAGCCAAGTAAGCCTAAGGAGGAGAGCACTAACCCTAAGTATAAAGAGCCTTGTCACATGCCTGTCCCAGTCACTACATACCCCTCTCCAAAGGAACTATTTGCCCACCTCTAACTCTTCCCATAGCCTCACCTCCTTCGGTGTTTATGTAAATGGAATGAAGTGATGTGTATTCTTTCAGTAAGTAGAGTAAACTCTACTTTCTACCCAACTACTGATGTACAGGAGCTTCTTTTCAGTGTGGGGTCAATAAGCGTAACACTGCTGTAAACATTCTGGAAGGGTTTTGCTTGTGTCATGACACACTGTGTGTCACTGCTTAGCCACAGTATTTTTAAGTTTGGTAGATGCTGCCAAACATTTTTGCAGCTGTGTCAGGGTCCCTAAGCCCCATGTCTGCAGTTATTCTTGGCAGGGTCACTCTGATGGACAAGCAGTAGCATCTCATTACGGTTGTAACACTGCCTTCTTCATGACTGATGAAGATGGTATTCACATCTCCTCAGGTGTCAACTGGCTTTTAGCTACCCTGTCTTAATTCTTTAGAATTAGAAAAAAAAATCAAGGGTGGAAGCAACAGGAAATCCCTCCCTGAAAGCACACAGTCTGCAGGGAGAGCTGATGGATTTCAGCTTTAGGGCCACTGGCTACCCTTCCTCCCATAGTCTAAAACACCCTTTCTCCCTAGCAGACCTGATTAAGAATTCACCATGAAGGGAAACTAGGTTATGGCTGATTTATTGATTTACTTTTTGGTTTCCATGCCAGTAATGAAACCAAAAACACAGGGACAGACAACAGACAAGACACAGTTAAAAACACATAGGCATGGACAGAGAGAGACACACACACATACACACACTTGTAAATACCATCTGTGGGCTGCTAGGACCAAAAAATTCCTCAAAGGCCATCCAGGGTACTGGGCTAGGTTACAGGGGTCATAGACACCGACTGTTATCTGTGAACAGAGAAGGCTTTCTGAGTTAGTCAAACAGCAGGTCAGGGTCACAGCACAGACATTGCTCCCACTTCCCACCCGCTGCTTTATTCTGTCCTGCAAAGCATGCCAAATTAAGACAGCCACCTGGTGGAGTGCTGAAGGGAAAAGAGGAGAGCTGAAGGACCTCACACCAGACAACAGAACTTCCTGATGGCAGGCATCAGCCCCTGCGCCCGGCACTGGATCTGGCAGAGAACAGGATCAAGGTCCACTCAGAAGAAGGACATGGAGAGAGGGAGGCTCCTCTGTAAGGTCATAGGCAGAGGAAATCCTCTTGTAAAGAGACAGGGGCTGTGAAAATCACTCACTCAGCAGTGATGAGAAAAGTTAAAGAGGACCACTGCCACTGCACATCTATGCTGCATTCAAATCACAAGCCAGGTGCCCTGGTATGGCTGACATGTTCTCTCCCCTCTTCCGGCCTCCCTCAGAGGAAAAAACCCTACCTGACTTGGGTACTATCTCTTCAGCAAGGATGTCTCTTGGTGATGGGAGTTACTCTGCCTTCCTGGCTTCCACAGATCTTTGTACATAATAAAAGATATTGTGGGGTTTTCTGGTCTCTTTTCTCTCAAAAGATCACAAACACCCAGATCTTGATTTCTAAATACCACCCTCCAGTAAAAAGAATCAAGGCACCAGTGATCTGTGGCTAATTCTAGGATTGGGAAGAGAAAACACAAGATGAACCTGGAACACCTAGTACCAGAAAATAAGCAAGTGCTCAAAAACAAAGGTCAAAAGCATGAACAGAGTAGCCAGATGAAGAGTGTTCCACAGCCAAGACTGTAGCAATCAGAGCAATGAAATAAATAATGTGGTAGAGGGTTAGAACCCGAAGTATAATAAAAACATCCACATAGATACAAGGGAATCAATAAATAGATGAAAATTAAGAAACAAGTCATGTTTAAAGGCTTGCAAATCAGACTAAAGACTGCCCACTGTAAGAGAGGGACTCAGTCCTTTCCCTTCTAGAGATTGGTTGGATTTGGGGACTCACTTTACAGGGGTGAAAACTGCCCAACTCTACATGCACCCACTGATCAACTAAACATCACCAAAGACACCCTTGTCTTCTCCCCCAGTATATTCTGTCCAAAACCCCATATCCATAATCTAATCACAAGAAAATAAATTCATGGATGCTCTACAAGAATTACCACCAGCCCTCTACAGAACCGTCAAAGCCATGAGAAACAGATGAAGATGTCACAAGAAAATACAGCATGGTGTTCTTGAATGTATCCTGGAACACGAAGAGGATGCTACTACAAAAACAGTAGTTAAATGAGGCATTAAAAGCAATGGATTCTTACTTTTGACAAAGGCACCATGGTACCATTAAAGTACCATCCTTCTGTGATTAAGTTCACACACATGCAGGAAGTACTTTAGTGAGTGCTTGTTCAACAATGAAAACACAGGTGAGTGGGTAGGATGGATGGATGGGCAGTTGAATGGATGGACTGGTGGGTGGATGTGTGTGGGGGTTGATGAATGGAAGGGCAAAAGGAAGGGAGTATGGAGAGAAGGCTGAGCCCAAACACCAATTATCCCACAAGTTTCCTTCACAGGCACAGGGTGGGTTAAATGACAATGCAGCCAATATATTTTTGTTGCATGTAGATCTACTTGGTTTTATAAGAAGGAATCAGCCCAGACATTTCCTATGTACTTCCCACAATGCTTGGGATAGTGTCATTCACAAAGTAGGAGCTTAAGTAATATTTAGGACTAGGGATCCAGTAACATCTCCCACAGGCGTCGGCTGTGTCAGCAACCACAGCGTGGGAAATGGCGCAGTATTTGGCCTCCATCTTCGGCACTGAAAAAGACAGTCAACTGCTTGTTTTATTTCAAAATTGGAGCATGTTGTCATGGAGACAGGGGCTCTTGGTTGCACAATAAACTAACCCTTAGCCCGACCACTGCCCTCTTGAACATTCACTATAACCCTCAAAACTCTTCAAGTCTGCTGACAGTTTGTGCTGTGCCATGAGTGATGTGGAGATGCAGGAACACTATAATGAGTTCTTTGAGGAGGGCTTTACAGAGATGGAGGAGAAGTATGGAGAAGTGGAGGAGATGAATGTCTGCGACAACCTGGGAGAACACCTTGTGGAGAATGTGGAGGTCAAATTTTGCCATGAGGAGGATGCAGAGAAGGCTGTGATTGACCTGAATAACCGCTGGTCTAACGGACAGCCAACCCATGCTGAGCTCTCGCCCGTGACCGACTTCAGGGAATCCTGCTGTATGAAATGGGGGAGTGCACACGAGGAGGCTTCTGCAACTTCATGCACCTGAAGCCGATTTCCACAGAGCTGCAGCGAGATCTGTATGGGTGATGCCGCAAGAAGCATGGGTCAAGGGCCGGGGAGATGCCTCAGTGGAATAAGTGATTCCCTGGCAAGCATACGGGGCTGAGCTCAATCCCTGGTCCCACCAAAAAAAGCATGGGTCAAGGTCCTGGTCCACGGACCAGTGCTCCTGGTCTACAGACCAGTCTTGGTGAAGGCAGCAGCGGCAGTGGAGGTGGAGGAGGTCGAGAAATCGGGAAAGATCAGGCAATTCTGATCCATGCCATTTTTACTGTATGTCTGCTAGAAAGTGTTGTAGTTGATTGACCAAACCAGTTCATAAAATGGGAATTTTTTTAAAACAACAAACAAAAACACAAAGATGTGTTTCAGAATAAAATTTGTAATGATACAATAAAAAAAATATTTAGGACTAGGGTGAAAAAAGGTAAAGAATATCGTAACCCCATCATATCAACACTGGTTAACAAAACCACTATTAATATCTTATGTATAACCACTCATAATTTTATTTGTTGAATATATGTATTTTGTTACAATTTTTTAAACAAAAATGGGACCATACTATAAATACTGCTTTTTATCTCTCACTATATTGTAAACTTTTTCCATGTCAGTAAATGTTAGTAAGGGTACCAAACATTGTGCTTCCTTTTGGAGGAAAATTCATTAGTCTTCATCTGTGTATTAAGATGCATATTATCAGATAATTATTGTATTCTTTCAAAGAAAGGCTTTAAAAATATTTGCTAGCCCAGTGTGCAAGTGTACAATCCCAGCACTTGGGAGGCTGAGGAAGGAGGACCACTCCAAGTTTGAGACTAGACTAGACTACATAGTTGAAAGCCAGCCTTAACTACAAAGTGAGACACTGTCTCAAAAAGTTATTTTGGTTTTCTTTTTTTATTTTCCATTATATAAAATGTTCTTATTCTTAAAACTGAAGATTTTTCTGTCTAGGTACATTTCCATGTCTTAAATGCAAATAGATTCAGGTTTCATACAGAGGGTTCATCTCTACGGTTTTCTCTTCAGGAAATACACAATACCTTCATTTGAGATCTCCACAGGGAGACAGAACATTGTCAGCATTGGGGATCTTTTAAGAACAAGCTCACACACATACCAAATGCTGCTCTCAGTCCTCAAGTGCCCAGACAAATGACCCAACCCCTGCAGGCTGCAGCTCTTCTATCCGATCAGGAGAAACTAGCTGCACCTATTCCCAGGTGGGGGCAGAACAAAGCAAAACCAGGCCTGTGGAGCCCTGCCTGTGTGCAGTGTGGCAACAGCATCCCAAATGCCCATGAATGCTCACCCTGCTCCCTTCCCCAGCAATCTGTGTCTGCAGTAAGATCTGGACCAGCTCTGATGCAGCTGGGCCGGTCCTCAGGCCTCATTTAGGAGCTATTACAGAGGGTGGTCTTGTAGACAAAAGGAAAAAAAAATGTTTGGGGCTATTTTCATTACCTCAAAAACTCTGGATTGGCACTATGCCCCCCCCAGGCTCCTTAAAAGAGGGTCCACAAACTAGTAGCACCTGCATCCCAAGGGGCCTGCTGGATGTGAGCCTCCAGCTCTTCCCAACCTGACATTCAGGACAGAAGTCTCAGGCCTCCTCCCCCATCTGCTGCTCTAGTCTGCACTGTACCAAACACCCCTGCCTGGCAACTTTCAGAAGCGCAGCTCCTTTCTGTACCCTAGTTGGGGTGCATTTGGGCAGCACCTCGGGGCCTTAAAACACACTGCTATCTTCACCCACGCCAGAGATTATGATTAATCAGATAAGGTTTAACACCAAGATTTGCTTCATTTTGTTGTTTTGGTTTGGTGCTCAGGATGGAACTTAGGGCCTGCATGCCCTAGGCAAGCCTCTACCACTGAGCTGCGCCCCTGCCCCACTTGCCTGCCTTATTTTAAAACACCCCCTGGTGGTTACAATGCACAGCCAGTTTGCAAACCCCTGCTTAACAGTGTGCAACAGTTCTGCAAGTGAAGCCCTCAGAGACCGCCTGAGTAAGAAGCTCCTGGAAGTGCTGAAGGCACACTCCTCCACCCCCGCGAGCGCTGTGAACATCCCCTGGGATTCTTGGGCACTCTCTCATCTCAGAGCCAGCTCCCTGGAGACTTAGAGAAAAGGAGTGCTTGCTTAAGGAGGGCTCACTGCACCCTCTGGGTTTCCTGTCTGGTAACTGATTATTTGGCAATTGTGTTTTGATATATCACACATTATGGCATCATTTTCAGGCATGATAAATTATAAAATGCACTTTAAAATGGAAGGAAATAAAAAGAAAACACCACAACATTAAATATGTATAACAACCATAAGAAATTCTTGATATTAGAAAAATGCCAACAGGAAGAGAACAATAACCAAGAATGGAGAAATTCAGGCTGGTCCGGCAGATTCACTTTTCCATCCCCAACACCTAGCAAATCTACTGAGTGGATGACAGAACTGGTCAGTTCCTCTGGGCCCATATGTGAGCATCCCAGGAAGGGACCATGGGGGCAGTGAGAGAGGAAAGATAGCGTCTGGGCACACAGACCTGAGGGTCCATGCAGAACCGCGGTGCAGCACCTGCCAAGTTCCCTTTCCTTCCCTCTGTGCTTTCTCAACACATCAGGCAT